TCAGAAACACAGCTGTGTAACTCCTCTTTCACTTGAACTTAATTTCTTTTCCCTTTTATGTGTATTTTGAGGGATAGCTAAACAATCTGTGGATGAGTGCTTTTTATAGGACTAAAATTACAAACTCAAAATACAGCTCTAAAGAACCACTGGGACAACAGAAATGTTTTTCAAATAATTAAAATTCTGGTTTTGAGTATTATCAACTTGTGAATGCAACAAAATTTTGCCAGTGCTTGAAACAGGACATTACATTGTACTGAGTTTCCCATGCATCAGAACAGAAGCTTATCAGATTTGCACTGTCTGATTCTTTCATCTGCTTCCAGCTTTGGTTTGCTTCCTTTAATTGTGAGAGCAGTTTTGACAGGTTTTTCTATGGCAAATTTATTTTTCTTGTATTAATTGTTTCTTTTCTTGGATGCAGACCTGGACATAACTGGTTTAGCAAAAGAGGCAAAGAAACTATCTAATATACGTGGACGGTACTACATATAGTGAACTGAGATGTAGTGTAGAGCTACAGACCAGTGAAGAAAAAACAAGGTGTAAAATTGTGTTAGCAGGCATGCAAAAATAACTCCAAGTGAACTCTAGAGGGATGAAGAAGAAGCTGTCATCAGAGGCATGGCATTCTTCCTGGTGAGGGACTCCAGAGGCTGATGACTCACCATAACCCCACCCACCTCACCTGAGTAAGACCATGACCTTGGGGCCTAGTCAAGGAGGGGAGAGGGGAAAATACAAGACCAGAGGAATGGGAGAAACTAAGAAGCGTGTTTGGAGCAATTAATTGTTTATATAACAAATAATAAAAGTAAATTATGGTAATTTAGAATATATTTTGCGTAGTAATTACAACTGAATTAATAATTATTGAATGAGACTGTTAGGATTTCAGTTACATTAATAGATTTTTTGCTTTATAGCAAAATATGTAAATAAGGTGTATTTCATCTTTGTCATAAATAAAGTTTTGCGTGTAACAAGCTTGGTGTACAGGCAATAAATTTTTGTCTGAAGAATAGGCATTTCCTAGGTAACTCAGAGTTTTGGAACAACCCATACTATGTTTAAGTATTAATTTGCTATACTCAGCCATCTGGGAGGAATAATTCATTAGACTTTTTAATAAAGGTAGGAGTAACACCATAAAAACAATGGTGTTATATCCCTCTTTGCAATAAAACACTATTTAAATCTAAACGAAGAATCACAGTTCTCTACCTTTTTGGTTTATAAAGTTATGTCTTTGCTACTTTAAGAAAAACAGTTCAACAGCAACATTTTATTCTATGTATTTCAACCTATATCTAATTAAAAAATAAAAATCTGTTCCTCAAGTGTTCTTGGTGGTATATATTTTTTGAGGGAAAATTTTCAGCTGTGTTGTGTGTGCATGTTAGCCTTCATTGTATAAGTATTTTATGCTTTTTTTTTTAACATGATTAATGGGTTATCTTGTTTGATAGATACAGCATCACAGCCTTATGAAGGTTGGAATTCAAATCTGTTACCCAATCTGTGGACCAAAGTAAGGTCAGACTATGTTGCTCAGGGCTTTATCTAGCCAGGCTTTAAAAACCTCAAGGAGCTGAGTCTACAAATACTTAGATTCCATTGCCTGACTCATTGAGTCCCACCACTCATCTTCATAAGCAGCCTGTCCAGGCCTTTTCAGTAACCTTCTCATGGGTGCTAGAAGGCTGCTGTTAGGTACTCCTGAACCCTTCTTCTCTCCAGTCTGAACAAGCATGGTTCCATCTGTCTGTGGCAGTGTCTCTTCTCCATCTCCTGATCATCTTGGTCACTTCCTGCTAAACCTGCACCAACTGATCAATGCCTGTTTTGTGCTGGCCCAGTATTGGCCACAGTACACAGATGTGGCCTAAGAAGTGCCTGATACAAAGGGATAACAGTTTTCCCTGATAATAGTGGCTACCCTCCTGTTAATATGGCTCAGGATATTAGTGGCCACGTGCTGGATGGTGCTTAGCTGGCTGTAGATCAGCTCTTCCCAGTCTTCTTCAGCAGAGCTTCTCCTTGCTGGCCAGTCCCCAACCTGCACAGTTGGAAGCAGTTGGTGTATCCTGGGTGCAGGACTTTGTACCTGTCTTTGCTGCATTTTATCAGGGTCCTGCTTGGCCCCTTTCCCCACCTGTTCTTGCACAACTCCACCTCCTGCCCCTAAGCCCATGCACTCAGGCCACATGGTTTGGTATTACTCACAAAATTGATGAGTGTGCACTCTCTCTCTTCAAGGGTTATTCACAGACACTAGACAAAACAAGGCACCAGGACAGGCCCTGGAAAAACACACTCGTTTACATCATTTGGTAGGGTAAAAAACACTAAGCACTACACTTTGATTCCAGCCAGACTTTCACCCATCTCATTGTCCACCCCTCCACCACATGAGGTGAAAAAATTATGGGACAGACCATGTCAGATGTCCTGCCATCAGTATACTATGACTCCATCCTCATGTGAGTAACCATTTCATTTTGATACAGACTATAATACTTGGGAAGTAGTTACCCAACAGTACCAAAGGAATTCTGTATCAAACTTGGAAGAAAGGATTTAGATCTACAAGGACCATACCTGACAGAAATGGTTTTCATGGTTTAAGGCTTAAAAGGTCTCTTCAAAGCATTTTTTTTTTATGTTTGAAAAAATGATTAGTAATATGAGAGATTATTTACTGGTAAGAACATTTGGATTTGCTTGAAACAAGATTTTGATTACTGATCAGTCACCATGAGGGTTACTTGTATACACACAAAGCAAGAGTCAAGTTTTTAATTTATAACTGTAGGCTACATGTATGAAAAAAGATTAATTAGAATACAGTGCAAGTTGTGTTACACAAACAATGACTACTCTGTTAATATGTGAATAATTAAGTCTGAATGAAGATGATAAAATGTCATTTTCCAAACATCATAAAAAGAGCTGCCAAAAACATTTGCATGTCTTTAAATGCAGAATAGCTGCATAAAGATTTGCATACAAACTAGTGTACCATTGACCCGTTTCTCCCATTAGTTACTTTTCCACTTCTGAGAATGTCACAACTAATCACAAAACAGCTAGAGAGAGGTCCAGACTTCAGGAAAAATAGTGAAGGAAAAGGGAACAATAATTTCTTTTACTACCTATTTTCTGTAATTTAAATACCCACTTCTGTTCTGCAAAGGCCATAGAAGTTAGTAAGAACTTGTGTGTGTAGGAAAAGTGCCTTTCTATCCTTTTCCACCCCTTCCTCATCAATCTTTTACAAAGTTCAGAGAGGTTTCTCTATAGTCTTTTACAAAGGGATTGTCTTAGCATTCCTGTCTGGAGTTCTGAGCTGCTCAATAGGCCAGTAGAGAGGCTGAAACTCAGGCTTCCTTTTTAGCAGGCAGATAAATTATTGCTGCTTTTTATACATGGTGACATTGGAGATAAGAGTTAATGATCTCTCTGAGAAGTCAAGCTATTTGCTGGATATGTATTTCATACAATACCTTCCATTTTCCCATGTATTTGCTTTAGGAAGATTTATTGATGCATTTTGTGGACTTCTGCCATTCAGAAATGTCTGAAGTGTGGAGCTTAAAACAAACAGTGTGGCTTCTAACATTTAAATGCTTTTGTTCCCAAATTTTGTTTAAGACTGTGGTGCTTTGGCAGACTGAGGTGTTGCCCTGGGAACACTGCTGAAGTCCTGAATGTTTCACTCTTTCTGTCCTAGTACAATCTGGAACAGAGGTATTACTAGGTTCATTTATGAAGGCTGGCATTTCTCAGTGTAATGAGACTTACGTTCATAGTAAGCTCTACAAGCTAAACCAGTCCCTTCCTACTTAATTGTTAAGGCAATTAATTTTGTTTGTTTGGGGAGTTTTGGGGTTATAATCCCATTTCCTTCCTGTTCTTAAGTACCAAATATCCATATGAATATTTTCTTGTGGCTTTACTTGTTTCAGTGTAAAACTATTGAAACAAAACTATGTTTTAAAACAGAAATATTAATTTCATTAATGTTTTGACTCCAGCTCTGCTTTCTTCTCACTTTTTCCACTTTGACCTTTCTGGTAAAGTGGTTGACATCCATCAGCATCTGCAGAACCTCTAAGGTAGCAGGAAGACTCTCTTCTCCTGCTGTGGACATGACTGTGAACACTCTGGAAATGGGACAATCTAATGTTTTGGCCAAAACAATGTGTTCTCATGTAGCTGAGAATCACCAAATCATTTCTGTGGGAAAGGACATCTTGGTGTTTGGAAGAACACTAGTCAGAACAAGGGCAACCTGCAGCTGTTCACATTCAAGTATCATAAACGAAACTTGGGCACAGCTCATTAAAAATGCAGCTGCTAGAAAGTGGGAGCTTATTTGTGAGAGACCGGCGGGGGCAGGGCTGCTGCATGGGCGTGAATGAGCACAGCAAAGTCAGCCACAGCCTCAGGGCATCTGGGCAGGGCAGTGACAGCGACGGGACGTGTCAGCAGCCAAGCTGTCGTCAGGTGACAGCCAGGTAAGGAGCCACGTCCCAGCTCAGTCTGGGAAATCCTCACGGTAGTTCAGCGAAGTAGTGGAGTCACCATTTCTGGGGATACTTGCAAGGCAGACTTGATTCAGCTTGGGGCATGGTTTAGCGATGGACTGGCAAAGCTGGATTACTTGTTGGGCTCGGTGGCCCTTAAGGTCTTTTCCAAACCGAGCGACTCTTTGATTCTCTGACTGAGAGAGGGCAGGGGCAGACGGCTTAGGGAGCAGCCAAAATGGGCCTCATGGGCAGAGGGGTGAGGGGAAGCTCGTCAGGGCCAGTGGTGCCTAAATGCGGTCCGATGCGGCGTTCTGAGATGCACTTTGCTTTAGTGACCTTTTTATTATCGTTATTCATTTATCCCTCCCTCCCTGCCCCCGTGCACTGACGTAAAGGATCTTTCCTTCCTGCCACTGATTGACAGCCGGAGAAGCTGCCGCTGCTGTTCCCTGGGAGGACCGGCCCGGGCTCCCCGGCCGTTCGAGGCGGCGCTCCCCGGGAAGGCGGCGCTCCTGCCCGCGCCCCCGCGGCCGGAGGAGCGGGAGCCGCGCCGGGAGCAGGGGGGCACCATGGTGGTGCCGCCGCTGCTGCGTGCCGTCATCATGGGGCCGCCGGGCTCCGGGAAAGGCACCGTCTCCGCTCGCATTATCAAGCACTTCGGCGTGAAGCACCTCTCCAGCGGCGATCTGCTGAGGGACAACATGCAGAAGAAGACAGGTAGGAATGGGGACGAGGGTAGGGATGTGTGCGCGGCGGCGGCGATCCCTCTTCCCGTCCCTGTCCCGCGGGAGCGGTCCCCGCGCAGCCCTGCGGGAGCCCCCGCTGACACAGCTCCGCGCCGGGGAAGGGACACACGCTCCTTCATTCCTGGGCACACATTCCTGCCCCCAGCCCCGCTCCTTCCCTCCCGTCCCCTCCCAGAAGGGACAGCGCCTCTTTAAGGGGGTTTGCTGCTTCCCAATCCCACTCTGTGTGACTTCCAGCCAGGCAGAGGCTGCGTGGCTTCAGACAGCTCTTCTGGAGGCCAGAGGCACTGAAGTGGGCCTCATGTCCGCAGCCGCGGGTCCTACACTTGCCAGCCTCTTTCGTGAACGTGTACGGGGTTATCTAGGGTTATCATGTTTTCCTTGTTTTGTTACACCTCATCGTTTCCTAGTCTTGAGTGCTTTTTGTAAGCAGCCAGTGGTTTTTGTACCTGTGTTTCTAAGCTCTGATAGTTTCTCGTGGTTTCTCATGGTTGCATCTTAAAAGAGAAGAATATTCACACCTTTTAAAGGCAGGGCAAGAGGAGGGGTTTTGGGCAATCAGACTTTTTTGGATGTTCATTTGATGGTTGGAAGTAAAGGTACCTAGAATTGTTTAACAACTGTTCCAAAATTAGGCCTAGTCCTGAGAAGGCTGGCATAACAGCGGTGCTTTCAAAAAAAAACAATGGGCAAAATTTTCAAACTGCATAGCTTTAAGAATTATTATTGTCTTATGAATTCGTATCATGCTAAGATTTCAGCATGGTCTGTGTTTACATACAGCGATGCTTGTACTAGGTAAAGATACTAATTATTCTTGCTGTGTAGTCCTACTTGACCTCTGGCCTCAGCTGAGATACCACAGTCCCTTTCTCTGGTGGATTTTTCAATGATGGACAGTTTCCTCCTGACTTCCATATCTGCTTTTCTACATGGTAGGGTGAAAAACCTCAAAAGAACCGTCTCAGGCTGCACATGATGAAGTGAGGGTATTATTATTTCCAGCAACTTCAAGCTGTAGAATATCACATTCACATGTGAGTGAATCACTGTAGTGTTATGCCTAGGAAACTGGCAGTCTTAGTTTTGGAATACTCATAAACATGTTTGGAGGTGAAGCAGTTGTGATGTGATTCCCACATGTCTTCACACAAATTCACACAAATTCTGCTTTCTCACTAAGGATAATCACTTTAGTACAGTTGCTGACTTTACCATAGTTGATGCTGTAGATGCTGTAAGTTAAGAATTTGCTAGGAGCACGCCTGTGTAGATATACCTGATTATCTTAATGCTATTTCTATTTGGTTTCACAATTGTAAGTTTTTATTTAGAGGGTCACAAAACTGTTCTGTTATGAACTTCTGGTGTAAGATCTGGTGGGTAGCCATCCCAAGAAAACAAAGGAAATGTTATTTTACCAAGTGCTTTGAGGTTTACAATGTTTACTTAATACTTTAGGTTTTGTGCAAGACCACAGAGCACCAGAATCATGCTGAAGGTTGTGTGAGAAGAGGAAATTGCAAGTGGAAATATCAATATTGCTTGAATTGAGGTGGGAGCCTGAAGTGACAGAAAGAGAAGTGGTTACACAAATAATTCCTGGTGCATTGGACAGATGAAAGACTGTGAAGGAGAGCAAACCTGTGAAATGGAAGTTTAGCAGACACATTAAAATCCAGAATATGAGGGAAGAAGCCAGTGGACAGTTTAAGAGGTGAAGTTTGCTCTAAATTAGCTACAGCAGAATTTACCAGAATCTGCTACTGAGTTTCTCATTCACTAGTAAACCCAGATGAAACTCTAGTGCAATTTAATTGAAAGTCAGTCAGTAGCTGCAGAAATGGTTCGCAGAGGATTGAGGTGAAGTATGAGGTAGCAGGACTTGGTAGTACACTGAAAACAGGAGAGCAACTGAGGGGCAACTCAGGGAGCCTTGACAAGACCAACAAGTTTTCATTTTAGTAGAAGAGTGCTGCAATTTCCAGTTCTTTGTGAAATGAATTACAATAGGATGGGCAATTAAAGCCCTTGGAAAGTCAGATATGGTTAACAGTAGTTATATGGTGCAAATGCAAAATTTGCATTGTGTCTTGTGAACATGGACATTGTTGAGAAGTCCTGTTGGAAATGAGAGTCCTTATCATTCTGAAGTTATTACCATGTTCTTCTGGGTAGTGGAGAGTCTGTGACCACCACTCTAATGCTAAGGTAATTGTTCTGATTATGGCTAGAGCTTGATTGCTGTAATGTGGTCAGAACATGCCAATCCTTTGTAAAATCATGGAACATGGATACCTGTCATCACCTACAAATGAAAGAAACTTGTGTTACCTGTAATTCTGAAGATTGCCTGCAGACCCAACCTGAAAAAACCCAGAACCAAACAAAACCCCATGAAGTCCCACTCCCAACAGGAGGGATGAAAAAAAAAAACTAAAAAAAAAAAAGAGAGAGAGCTGTGAGCTACTGTACCAACTTTTTGTCCTAATGTATTACTATTTGGGTATGGTTGTTCCTATTTCTTTCCTCCTATAAAGGTGACTTTATAAATGAACTGAGTTCCGTAGAGAGGGGCAAAAGGCAGCGTTTTTCAAGCTCTATTGGTCTAATTATAGCTTGCCATATTCTAAATTTTTCTGGGCCCAAAGACTCATTAATCTTTCCAAGGTAAGTTATAATTGTTCCGTGTGAACCTTGCCTTGTGCATATTTTTAGATCATTGTGGCTGGAGCAATGCTGCAACATGAATCAGTAGCAGCCAAGCATCAAGTACACATTAAAACTATCTAGACATGATTTATTCCTTCTCCAAACCTACTTTTGTGGGTTACATGGTTCAAAGCACACTAGACTAGGACTAGAATAATAAAAGAGGTATGAAGAAGGGAGGTAGGGAGAAGAAGAGACACTTTGTACCCAGGCAGACAGTCACCTTTCAGTTTGTGATGTGCTGGAGGACTCAGGCACCATAGTCTGACTCTTTTCCATACAGTGACTATGTTTTGAAGTCAGGACAAGGTGCACAGTGCATATTTCTAAATGGTCTTTGTACTTTTCAAAGCCTACTACAGATGTGAACACACACTAAGGGGAAATTGTTCCTTTATTTTGTTTTTTTCTCATCACCAAAGTTACTATTTGCATTATTTGAGGGCATGTACTGCTTTTCAGTTGCCTCATCTGAAGAAGGCCCTCTGTCCTGTTGCACATTCTATGCACTGAGTGATGGGAGTGGCATTTGTCATTGCTTTCTACTGAAAAGTGGTGATACCTTGTGTGGAAGATACGGGATGTCCATCCCATTTTCTCTTCTTTAGTTTTCTGTAACTGGGTCTAAACTGGCTGCAAGTAAAAGCTTCTGCAGATCCACAATTAAACCAGTCTAGCTGCTCTTCTGGGTTACTTAACATAATTGGGTAATTGTTTTATAAATGAAAGATATGGAAACTTCGTGCCTAGGACACAACCCAGGCAACTGAATTTCTTCCTGGCCATACCCATGATTTGGGTGAACTACAACATGCTACTGCCTGCCATGTAGGAGCATGGTGTGATAGCTGGAACTACAATGCATGGATGGAATTTTAGTGAGACAGTGGGATAAATGACTGGTACTAAAGGTTAGTCAGTTCCATGGCAAAATACTAGTGTCCATGTGCTCCCATAAATAGTGTACACAATCTGTAATTCCTCTTGCAACTCTAGTAATCATAAAAATACGTATCTGGCAAGCGTGTCCCAATACAGATGGCTTTCTTAAATGCCAAAGGCATTTATATTTTTAATGAAGCCTAAGTTAGTAACTAGCCATTAAGCTGATAAAATAACTTTCTTTTCAGGAAGTCTGAGGGCTGATATCTTAATACATTTGTATCCTTTCTATTTCTTATTTTGAAAACTCTTGGCTAATGGCCTCTCCTCATTTTAGTTTTTGGAGACCTTCAAATTTCGAATACATACTAGTAAATTTATTCAGAATGTGTGAGGATAGAAGTGTGTTTTGCCCTACAGCTAGATCAAATTAATCTCATACATATTTTCATGGTCAGATCCTAGTTGATCATACAGATGTTTTTTAATTTTGGCAAGCATGCCGTCTGTCTTGTTTACAACTTCTCTGTGTCATCCCGATCAAAACAATTTTTTCTGCAGGCTCGTGGTCATTTTTTCCCTTGCTGGAGGTCAGAGATAGTGTAATGCAACTTTTACTTTTGCAGAAGTGGGAATTCTTGCCAAATCCTACATTGATCAAGGGCAGCTTATTCCAGATGACATCATGACACGACTAATGCTGAATGAGATAAAAGGTCTAGACCGGTACAACTGGCTATTGGATGGTAAGTTATCATGTTGGATATCACTATATATGGAGAGAAAACGGGTTCTGAAAACTTGTGACTACTTTGGTCACTGGTTGCCAGCTTGTTGTGAAACTTTCAGCAGATAGTCTGCCCCAGTTTCTTTGGCTGACAAATGCTTCCAGTGTATCCTGCCTTCAAAGCATTACCGGGTCAATTAACTCATGTTTAAAATGGTAGTTCAACATTCCAGAAAAATTTCAAAACTGGCAATTCTAGTATCTTTTATGATCATTCATATGGTATTTCCCCTGTTAAAATAGGCATTGAGAAGTTTCTTTTTAAAAGTCTTTTCTTATTAAAATCCTTGGGAAGTGGAAAACTTTTGAAGGATGGGGCTTTGGAATTATTTAAATAGCAAGGTAGGAATGTGATGCAGTAACAAGGTGAGTATGGAAAAGTAAGTGTGCAGCAGTGTAGAATGTAATAAAAACCATTGCTTAATTGTCCTAAAAGGTTTCTTTAATTTTCTGTCTGGTTCTGTTCTCCAGAGTGAGCTGCTTTGCAGTTCTGCAGTGTAAGCTCAGTGCTTCAGCATTGGCACTAGAGAGAAAAAGCATTTGCTGCTATCTTCATGAGCAGGATGACTCTTGTTATTCCAGCCCGTGGGAGTACAGTTGGATGCCCAGCACAAAAAGTGTCTAGGCTGGATGCATGTTTTTTCAGACTCTAGTCACAACCTGTCTCAGTAGATAAAACAAGAAAGTTATTGGTGTGGCTTTCTATTTAGAGGGAGTGAAAAACACACAGTGGTCTCTGTCCCTTAGTGGTTTATTATAGTTATATAGTTGCTCCTATGTACAGTGATATGTTTTGGTAGCTTTAGTCGCTCCCTGAGATAAAGGCTTCATTCCCACAGTAAACAGTACAATGGAACCTAAACAATAAAGCAAAGATGGCAGATACTGTGTTTTTTTTTCTTTAGTTACAGGTTCCATGTAGACACAGTTCCAGTCTTGTGGATCTGGATGTGTAGCTAAATAGCTGTGCCTGCTGGCAGCTCTCAGCAGGAGGACTGTGTTGAGACCGTAAGAGAATAAATCAGTTTCTGCTGCATCTTAATGTACTCCTTTAAACTTTTGGAGCAGAAATTTTGTCTGCATCAGCATTTGTAATGAGACTCAGTGAGTTACACTAGGGATAGCTCTGGCATAATGGCCTTCGTAGGAGCAACACTGTTCTGTTGAAATACGTTAACCCGAAATCTTTAGTTTGGTAACTGCAACAGAACAAACAGATGGGGTCAGTTAGCTGAAACCAGTTCAGAGCTGCTGAACTGCTTGCTCACTTAGCCAAACACTGATTTATTGCTTTACAATAGATTGGTGGCTTCTAGAGTCATAGCAGATGTAGCAGTGTGAGTCATATGTGTCTGTGGGTATAATCCATTTAGATTTATGTGCTGTCTAATCTAGAGAACTTCTCTAGATGAAGATCTCCTGGAATCTTTATAACTCATCAAAACTTGCAGACCTTTTCCTGTATAGAGAAAACACTATGTAGAAAATGCCAGTTCAATTTTAATGAAATGCTTTTGTAAAGAAACTTCAATTTGTTGAGGAATTTTCTTGTTACCCAGTACCAAGCAAACTCATTTTCCATCTGCATAACTTAGAAGCATGGTGGCTAACAGTAAGAAAGATCAGCAGCTCTTGAACAGTGTTCAGCAGCAGTGTTGAAGACCTGACTCTTCCTCTGCTCTTAACATTTAGAAGCACTTCCATGACATAATGTGAATGTGTGAGAAATAGGATGAGGGCAGCTCATAACTGTGATGCACACCAGTTGCAAGAGGCTTAATGCACTTGGTCTGAGTTAATCAACTCTATTTCTAATTTCTATTTCTAATGTTTTTCCTTACTCATGCAATGGCCAGATCAATCAACATTATGCAGGAGTTTCTCAAGCTTGTACCTATCAGTACTTGCCTTTATGGAGATGTTTACTTGTACAGCATGACGCAAACTGAAAGCTACTGAAGAACATGAGACTATGCTAGAGCTTTCTGAGGAGAGGAATTGTTCCAGTGAATATAGGATACAATAGCATGTTCTTAGTAGCTTTGACCACTGAAGGTCTTGTGCTCAGTTTTTCATTTCAAATCCTTTGTGGAGACCTTGGCTTTCTTGTTCTTTGTTCCTACTGCACTCCTCCTAAGTTTCACTAGATTTATCTAATAGTTTAAGGCATACAGTAGGGAGCCACAGAGTTCATGGGGCAAAATGCAGCACCTTTGAAGTGAAAGAGACAGGTTCCTCAGCCTGAGTGTTCTCTCTCTCCTCTATCTGAGGATAGTTTGATACACTCAAACTTTTAGAACCCTTCTAAATCCTGGATTGTCTCTGGTAAATATATTTGGCTTACTGCAACTGAATTAAACAGTTATATACTGTTTTATTAGTTTTATTAACTGAATAAAACAGGTTTGTAATGGCTACCACCTTAAGCCAGACTTACACAGCTGTGAAAGTAAGAGATGTCACAGATGTTTCTAAGCTGTTCTGACTTCTGAGTGAAACTTTTCACTGGAGCTTTTATTATTCTTAATGTGTATACAATGCTTTTATGCACTGTAGTAGTATGTGGCATATATGAATATAGAGTCTTCTTGCACTTATTTGTTGCACCATTGGGAAAATGATTAGCTGAAATGAAGAAATTAAAGCTGGGAGGCATTTAAAAAGTTAAAATGCCATGACACACTGATGATGCCTTGAGAGGCTACCTGGAACAGAGGCTAGACAGTGTTAAAGGAACAAAGTAGGTATTTATTAAAAAGCATTCAGGCATAAAAAAAGCATACCTTGGGCAGTACAAGAGCCTGGATGTGGCTCTGCCCAAGCTGGACCCAAGAGGGATGCAAGATGGATGACAGGTCACACGTTTTCACACTTTTATAAGTTTTGGTACATTTATATATTGGGGCTAATTGTCCAATTACAGCTTCAGGTTATGAAGTCCCATCCTCTCATATTGCTCTCCTCAATTCACTGTTGTTTATACTTTTGGGGCCTGAATCTGCAATGGTGTCCCCATGGTTCTTGGGCTGGAAAATGATTGTTTTGTCTAACTAAACTGTGAAGGGAACTTCCTAACTCTTTATATGAAGTTCAGAGTTATCTACCAATGCAGTGCAGAATCTGCAAAATATGAAAGCTTAAACTTAAGGTATCATTGAAAGATACTGGAAAATCTGATGTATCTTCCATCTTTATAGAATAGGACAAGGCTATTTGGCTTTTTTGCTGTGTAACTATTATTTTCTGTCATGACTCAATCCAGGTAATTTTTGCTATAACTCTGCTTTTTGAATTTTATGAAGTTGTTTCCTTTAAAAAGGTTTCCCCAGAACAGTTGCTCAGGCAGAAGCCCTCGATAAAGAATGTCAAATAGACACTGTGATTGACCTAGACGTGCCATTTGAGACCATAAAGTGTCGGCTTACAGCGCGCTGGATCCACCCTGCCAGTGGCAGAGTCTACAATCTTGAATTCAATCCTCCCAAAGTGCAGGTAAGCAATAAGCTTTGGTGTTGGCACTAAATAAGTGCTGCACTGCATTTGCTAGCTGCAGTAAAATATTGTTTGCATATGTTGCTTCAAAACACAGCAGTTCAGAAGAAAAAGGCTCATTTCATTTCTTGGGAGCATGGAATCTTTTTGGAAACACTGTGCTGGTATGAGGGTATGTTAGTAACATGGTAGAACCTCTTAAGCTGGTGGACAATGTATTTATTCCCTGCAGAGCAGAGTGGAACACCATGGTGTTTTGCAAGCTCTTATTAAAGCTGTTCACTGATCTGGAATACTGTCTGCCTTGCACACTGGCACAGGATCTGGGCACGGTCTTAGCCTCTTTGCAGCCTGTACAGTCCAAAATACAGCTTTCTTTTCCTTCCTCCAGAGGAGTCATGCTTTATATATAGGAAACACTAAACCACCAGTCAGAGGAATTCACTTAATGCTTTCCCTGTGTTTATATTTAATCAGGATGGGTTATTTTCAAGGGAAGAGCTGCTGTACTGCAAAACTGGATGTAGAAACTTTCAAGTCAGGGAAGCTTTTCAACAAATTTAAGAACTTATGTCTTGAGATATCCTAAAGAGGAGCTTGAAGATAAAGACTGTACATTGTTACTTTAATATTTTCTGAGAACAAGGATTTGATTTAGTGCAACTCAGCTAAAACTGTATTTCATCCTTAATAACTTAGCTGTTGTGGCATCACATTTCACCTGGAAGCTCTATTAATTTACATCAGAAGCACAGCAGGCCCTGTAGTTTTTGGATTTGTTGCAGGAACAGAGGCCAGCTTGAAATACCAGGTAAGCACTGGAAGCGAGCAAATGGAAATAATGACTTTGTTTTATTTAAAACAAATAGTTTAAAACTGTGGTTATTTTCAATTGCAGAAGAGCACAGGCAAGATGGAGCAGAGAATTATCAGGCTTACCAGAGTAGGCTTCAGCTGCCAGAGCTTTGCTATTCGAACCGTTCTACCTTTCACTAATTAACAGACTTATCACAACACAGTGGGCTGCAATACTTAAAGTGAAAACATGGAAGAGAGCTAAACAGGTGAAATACAGTTGTCCCTCTTCTTTTAACAGACCTGCAAAATGCTTACTTAGAAGGAACGAAAGTTTACAAATTAGGTCCCTACCTCTGTAGGGAAAGCTTCAGCTGACTCTTATGCCATTTTTTGTACAAGTGTTGCTAAATGATAACTCTTCCATTTTGCAGCTTAAAATCAAAGGGCAATTAACTCCTTTGCCCATTTTAATATTGTCAAATGAAGGTCCAAGTTACTTCTTGTTTCCTGTTATACAGGAATGTATTACCAAAAATATCGTTTTCCCTTGTACGTGAAGGTTTTGTTTTCATGTTCCCTGCTTTCTATGAATGCTCCAGAGGACAGATTAGTCAAGTTACTATGATCTAATATTCATCGGCAATACTGAGAAAATATCTTTAACTGACAGACTGTTTTACTGGAAAGTCAACAACTTATATTCCAGATAAGAACACAGGCAGCAGCCTCTCTATAAGCAGAAATCTATACCCTGATTAAGTGGAAATTGATCATAATTTAAATAGAAAAATCACACGAAGCATGCTTAAAGAGAAGTAAGAAGTATACTCTGGTGTTTGCTTTTAACCATAATTAGGGCATTGATGACATTACTGGTGAGCCACTTGTTCAGCGTGATGATGACAAGCCAGAGACTGTCAGCAAGAGGCTGCAGGCTTATGATGCACAAACAAAACCTGTTCTAGAATATTATCGGTAAGTAATAAAATCTCTTCTTCCATATTTCAAAATCTTACTGTGCATCAGCATAGTGAGGAACAGATCTCTCCAGTCACAGAGTATATTATACCACAACAGTGAGTGTGGTGGGGGTAGTTGTGTAGCTGTCATGAACTCAGTAAGAAATCAAGCCAGTAGAATGAGTATGGTTTTCCAGTGTTGTATGAGACCTTCTGGAACCTGTGTGGTAAAACAGCTTATCACTGCAGCCAGCCACATTTAACTTTATAAAGAATGCTATGCATTATTCAATACATAGTAGTACTGAGCAACAACAGCTCTGGTGGGTGAGGTAACACAGGCAGTTCTTTTTTTTTTGCAAGAACTTAAGAGTACTTTGTTTTTTATATGTATGGGTAGAAGCTCTTCTAACAAGTGCAAGGAGTCAGGAAGTGATACACAAATAGAGAAACTGTTGATGAGGATTTAAATGTGGCTGTTCTAAGATTGGACCCTGCTAGCAATACTCTTTGGGAATAAGCAGTTAATTCAGAATTGTCATTTGCATTGTGGAGTAGGAACAAATTACTAGTTTGTTTAAGAGTCAAAATTATACGCAATGTTTCTCTTAATGTAAAGTTGCAAGTGTCATACTGCTAATATATAGATACACAGCATGTCGCCATGTAGAGCTTTACCTTTACTTTGCCAAGACTAAGAAATCACATTCTGACAACATCAATGATTGTCCTTTCTGTATTTCCATATTCATTGTATTCTTCCAGGACTGGTGAGCAGAAAAATAGAAGCTCCATCTTTGGTGTGGTTAGGTTTTGAAGTTTTTCTAGATTGATAACAATATTCCTGGTTTTGTTAGATTTCTAAAGTGAAAATGCTTTAGAGCATCACAATAAGATGCCTGAGCTGTAACTGGTAATAACACACTTGACAGATAAAACTAGCTCCTACAACTAATTCAGAATAATGCTCTTGTGTCTGGTTATTTTGCTTGTCTTGATTCGCATTCTTTGATCCATGAGGTGCAGCCTTATAATACCTGGGTTAGTCACAGTCATGTGGACAAAGTCTGTACAACATGTGCTGTGTGACAACATTGCTACTTTACCCTGTTTATGATTAAGTGCTCTGCAGACAGCCATCAGTTTTATGAACTGATGTGGTCAATAGCCAGCTCTTTGAGGAACAGAGTAATGAATGTCCAGCCTGCATTTCCAATGCTACAGGTGTACTTGGTGCTACATCACATGCATATTTTCACACTTCTGCCAGGGTAATCTGCAAGTGAGGCAGGTATTTTGAAACAATTAAAGAATTTGACATATGTAATATTTTCTTCTTTTTCTTTCTTAGGAAAAAAGGGTTATTGAAATCCTTTTCTGGAACAGAAACCAATAAGATCTGGCCACATATCTATGCTTTCCTTCAAACCAAGTTGCCAGATGTGAGCCAGAAAGATGCTGCCAACCCCAGCTGAAAATAGGTCAGGCTTCTGGTCATCTGTCATAATTCACTCCTGATTACATGGGATTCTGCAATAAAGGATTTGTCCAAGTAGTCTACCAGACTCATCAATAATTAAAGTCCAATGCTGTCTTTAACCTACGTTATGGTAAAATTTTGTTGCCTGTGGTTATAATTTTAATGCTGTATTTTTTTATATTAAATATATTGAATTTGAAAAATACAGTAACTGTCTTTAGCAACATCAGGTACTCTCGTGTCTTTTATTTGGAAAATACATTTCCAGTGGTGATTGGTGAAGGAAATACATTTCAGAATACAGCTTAATTAGAAAGCACATTGACTGATTTACTCAGTCAGTAAACAAAGCAATGACAAAGACAGGAAAGCATGTTTCTTGAACATGTAGCTAGCTGGAGCTAGCCAGAAGCTGTGAAGAACAATGACCACTGGTCTGCAAAAACCAGTTTTTCAGACCAGAGCTGGTGTGTATGGAAATTGATCTTATGGAAAGGTTAGATTCTTGTTTGCTTGCACAGATGTGACTTGATTTTGCTCACCATAAATTACATTTAGCACCAGGGTAAATTATCTAAGCAAGTAGTATGTTTGTATTTCTGCTTTCAGAGCAGCGATTTTGCAGGCTTGGGAAATGGAGTGTCAATTATGTGTAACACATTTGATAAAGCCTCTGTCTTTGTGTAACCCTGTAAGACTTTATCAGTAAAAAGACAGCAGATACTGAACAGATTATGTGTAATCTGGTAAATCTGTAGCTAGATGATCTTGACCAGGGAATGTGCCTGTTCTGCTGTCCTTAAAAACAAGTGGTCACTGATGCCAGTGACTGATTTCTAGTGGTCAAAATATTAACTTTGGCATATTACTGTAGCAATTTTTATTGTAGCAACTGGACTGGTTTTCCTGAGATTCTTGTCTCTGACCAGCTCTTGTGTTTATTGACTAGATAACTGGAAAGACAAACCTCCACAGCCCACATTTTTTAACAGCCCAGGGAATGCAGACATTGCTATTTTTCAGTGGCAGTTTCAAGAGTCAGCTAAATGTGAGGAACAAATAACTCTAAGTAATGTCAGAAGTAGCTGTGTCCTAGTAATGCAGGTTCCAGTCTCCTTTAGCAGTGACTGTAAACAGCACAAAACAGTGACATACCTTGGTTTGTCACCATCTGCACATCCAATTTTAGCATTATGAATATTGAGACATATTTGAGTGTAAAAAGAGACAGTCAGTGTAGAATTTGTGGTATTTCCCCCTTACTATGAATGAACAATATAAGCAGCAACTATCACTACAGTTTTGTTTCACTTAAAGAAAGCTGGCCAAGAAAATTGACCACTTGTACTATCATTTTGAGGATGTGTCTACATATTACAGTGAGAAACTCTAACTGCTTGTTTTTTACATTTTGGTGTCAATAAAAAACAACACTTTTTTTTTTTTTTTTTTTTTTGCCAGCATACACAAATTCCTGTGAGCCAGAAGGAGCAAGGGGAGGGAATCACATTATTTGACACTTATGACTGGCACCATCCAGTTTTATCCCCATAGAAACTTAAAAAATAGCTTACTCTGTTTAACAGGTTGCTAGATCAACAGCTGTATTGCCAAGGGTAGCAGTTGCAAGTCACTGTGTTACACTGCCCTTACTATCCCTTGCATACAACATTCAGTTAAAAAACAACCTGAAGTTACTTGTTTTCTGTTAAGTTTCCCTTAATAATTAACTAACTATTAAGGAGGAGGCTGTTTATTTATCCTTTCCTGAAGTATCTGTCAAACTTAACAAGATGCAGTAGAAATTTTTATTTTTTATCTCCCAATTTGCATGTGGGACAGAACTGCTCTTTGCTCTTTATCTTCAGGCTTTTTGCAAAAGAAGGCTAGAGAGCAGAAGTCATATGGAAAGCTACTTCTATGAGTGGATCTGCTGTTGCATTGGTACTAATACTCTGGTATATTCTGCAGACTTAAGACTTTTCCACATCTTGGCTGTAGGCAAAACAGAAAATTACTGGATTCTGTTTCACAGAATCAGAATCATTAAGGTTGGATGAGACTTCCAAAATCATTGAGTTCAACCTCTGACCACCAGCACCCTGCCAAATAACTTACAGCGCTAGGTGCCATGTCCAGTTATTTCTTAAACATTTACAGGGATGGTGACTCAAACACTTCCATGGACAGTCCATTCCAACGCTTGACAATCCTTTCAGTGAAGAAAGTCCTGATGTCTAAGCTGAACCTCCCCTGACACAGCTTGAGGCCATTTCATCCTGTCACTTTGTAGCTGAGAGAAGAGGCCAAGCCCCACCTGGCTACATCCTCTTTCAGGAGTAGACAGTGATAAGGTACACCTGAGCCACCTCTTCTCCAGCTTAAACAATCCCAGCTCTTCTCACAGGACATGTGCTCCAGACCCTTCCCCAGCTTCACTGCCCTTCTCTGGACATGCTCCAGCAGCTCCGTGTCCTTCTTGGACTGAGGGGCCCAAAACTGAGCAGAGGATTTGAGGTGCAGCCTCACCAGTGCTGAGTACAGGGGACAACCCCTGCCCTGCTCCTGCTGGCCACACTATTGCTGGCACAGGCCAGGATGCCATTGGCCTCCTTGGCCACCTGGGCACTGCTGGCTCCTGTTCAGCTGCTGTCACCAGCACCCCCAGGGCCTTTTCCTCTGGGCAGCTTTCCAGCCACTCTGCCCCAGCCTGTGGCACTGCCTGGGGTTATTTTGCCTGAACTAAAAACTAGAGGTAAGCTATGATCACTGAACTTGTGAAATCAATATGCCTTCCAGACCTTACATACAATTAGAACAATTCAGTAATGAATTGAGAGTGGGTACTGATACCATTACCCGAGGCATAAGCTGTCTTTGCTAGTCTACCAATTGCAGGATACATTTTTACAGACAGACCTGCTGTAATAGCAGAAAGTCAGAAAAGCACAGTAGAGTTTTGGAGTGCAAGGTTCTGTGGAAGGCCTTATCGAGAAAATGTATTTGGATTTCCAGCTTCTTAAACAAGAAGCTTTTAATGGTTTTCGACTTAATGTTTGAATTGACAATGTCAGAAACCCACTCTGGTTGAGTAGCATATGAAGTGTCTTTCAAACACCACCCCACCCCCCGACATGTGACCTGTAGTACAGCTTTTTGTTTAAACTGAGGTCTTAGCCTAATCCTTGTACAAGTTTCCTTCATAAATTACTTCTACCATAACAAGACATGGTTTAAAAAAAATAATCTGAAGTTAGCTTGATGAACAAGAAGAGAATCAGACTCCCAGAAATCATACAACCCAGCACTCATTTGTAGACAAGCATTGCTTATGTTTTAGGATTAAACCAAGTTATGTTTAATGAAAGTACAATATAACATTTAGATCCCCTTAGTAGAGGTAGAAAGCCAGTGTTTTAATCTAATCCATTCAGATCAGAAATACTGATACCAGATACTGATTTATTGCTATTAGTGATAACCAAATTTGAGAGCTTATACTGTCAGCAAGGTAGCATGAATACAGTTGCGATCTCCAAAACTCAGAGTAAAACATATCCACATCTGTAGTAAGACAATAGCAGATTCTACCAAGAATCTGCTGCTTCTTGTAAACATTGTATTTGTGCAGATGTTTAATTTCTAAAGTCATGAAAGGCAAGGTTAGTAGCAGAAAACACATCCAGTTTCACATTCGGCAATAAAAGAACCCTGCTCTTCAAGGACAACTAAAAACCTAGCAGCACATTTCAAACAATATTACAAGTTCTTTCCTTAATTACCCTTCAAAGTCCCTCCCCCCTGCCCAAATCAAACAAAAACAACAAAAATCTGACACGAAAAATAAAGTGCAGTACCCAGAAAAATAAGTGTCAAGAAAATAGCCATGTTTGTTTCTTTGGGGAAAAAAAAAAACAAACAAAAACAAAGGGGAAATAAAAGAGTACTTGGCCTCAGTCTTAAAAGTACTATAATGTGTCCATCATTTTGGATTCTTCTTCATCTCTTTCTATCACAGAGTTGAAACTGCAGACATCTGTGTTTATGGAACCTTGCAGATCTCCTGTGTTCTGCAACAGATGAAAAATTGACAGCTTTATACTCTGTAATTGTATAAATGGAGGGAAAAACTGAGTGAGAGAGAAACAAAGAAGACTGTTTGTGGTGTCTATCTTATGATGAGACAAATTTACAATAGAAAGTAAATCAGGACTGAAAACATCATCAACCAGTACTATGTCACTGTCTCAAGAATTTTTAAAATTTGCTACCGTAGCTTGTATTTGGTCTTCGTATTTTTAGCACCTAACTGCATACTTACATAAAACTCAGGTGTTTGATCTACCTCTGAGAGGTACTTTAATCAAATTATTTCAAACAAGTACTTTCAGTTGTGACTACTTTCTTAATAAATATTTTTTTACAATCTTTTAAGTTGTTTCTTTATTCCAGAATATGGCCATAACTGGAACTACAAAAAACACCTAAGTAGGCTCAGTTTCCTTTTATCACAAAGGGAGACTTTCCTTAGGCTTGACTTCTCTTGCCCAGAGAAGTTGTGGGGTCTCTGGCACTGTTCAAGACCAGGCAGGATAAGGCTGTGAGCAGTCTGGTCTATGAAAGGTGTCCCTGCCGTGGCAGGGAGTTTAGAACTAGATGATCTTTAAGGTCTGCTCCAAAACAAACCATTTAGTGATTCTCTGACTTACTTGACTGATCCCATGATTTTACACTACTTGTGGTGATGACTGGGAATACAACTCTAAGATCTGATCAGTTTGGTCAGGCAGTGTTTATTTTAGGCATGAAAATGTAAAAGCACTGAACAAACATATACTTTTGACATTATGCTGATAGTGTGTGAATTCCAGCCTATATATGCCTTGTGTATTAATAAGGCTGCATGATATATCCCAAGCACTAGCAATTCAAGAAATAATCCTCTTTATGTCTCAGAAAGGTACAGCTTCTCTAGGCAGGACCTAATCCTGCTTTGGTTAAATTAAATTTTAGAAATAATAAACCTACCTGAAAAAAAGATGCCCACTCTCCCACACAACCAGGACTGACATTGAGATCATGGAGTAACATGGTTTGAAAGCCATGTGATTGTGACCAGATTCTCACTCTTGTCTTGAATGCCTCAAGTTCATTTTTAAAGGCCTCAAAGTAGCCTTCTCCTGTCTGCAAAGAGAAAAATGAAATATTTGTTCTTCAGCC